GCATCTGAACAGATCTCTACCCAGGAGTCAGGATTTCCTGAATCCAGCCGGGTTCAGCACATTAACCTGTCTGTCCAGATAAATACGCTCGGGGCAAAGCAACTCACAGCATCAGGTAATGAGTCCTCGTCTGGGTGATCTGGAGGCGTGCACTTCTGTATCTCCTTCAACAGCAGTGGGTATTTAACCAGCCGGCTTCGAGGTAGGTCCAGAAAGTTCCACAAATCCAATTTCCTACTAAAGGAAGACTCCTGACACAGGCGCAGGAAGTGTTCGACTCTTTTCTGCTGCTTCTTGTGGTCCAGCAAAGCTTTGGCTCCCACCTGATTGCAGCAGTAGGTGACATAGGCCTCCAGGCAAGGGAACTGCAAAGGGGAAGTATAAGAAAGTGAGATAAGAAAGTGCTCAGAATGCCTCTGTCGTGCTCTTGCAGCCATGTCAGCTGAATGGAAAACACTAACCCAGTTTAACAGAGTTGGCCCCACTTCTCCGACCGTCTTCTCTGAGCCCCGCAGTCGCTCTAGACGAGCCAGAAGATCTAGTATGAAATAAAAATGCATACTCATTATACTGGAGAAGGGACAAAATCCTGAAACTACAAACAAGAATTTCATCTGCTATTAGTGGTAATCCTAAATCCATTATTATACTGTAAGAAATGGCACAAAAAAAAGAAACTATATATATATCAATAAAACACGTTTGGCTCTTCCTGTTTACTTGGAACCAAAGACTTAACTTCATGTCAATACTCAGGAAATGAGGTGTTCTGAAATATGATTAGACACTGAGATAAAGCCGTTCATATCATTTACCTTCATGCAGCGGAATGAGGGAATCTAAAGTCCCAAAGATTTGTCCAAGCTCACTTTCTGTCATTATGTCCAATTTCAACATGGGCTCATAGTAAACCTGAAAGCATAAAAAGTCAAGGAACACTTTGAGCAAATATTCTTAGATATTAAAATCCCAGAGTATCCTGTGACAACAAGTACCTTCTTGACCAAACTGAGGTCCTCTATAAGTTGCCTCTCTCCCTGAGTCAGCTCATAGATCACCTGCAGAGGAGTCCAAGACATTACACACAGCAGCTTTAGACATGTCAGTGGAAATAAATGATAGTTTCCGCACAATGCTGCATGGGATGTAAACTAAGCGGAAACCCAGCATGAGCTCTCACAGCTGATTGTTAAATAACGGAAGTTGAGCCTCTAATGCCAGCTCATATCCTCTTTCCTATAACCATGCTGATCAACTTCAGAGAAACAGAGTACAAGCTAGTCATCTCGCCCATACTGCAACCACAGCTTTACAGCTTGTCCACATTAACCCCACCTCCCAAACAAAGTGAAAAAAAAAAATAATGCCAAAGGTTCTTGTATTAAGATCCAGACCTCTTGGCGTTTGATTTCCTTTGCAGTAAGGTCATGGCTCTCCACGGTGTCGCTCCAACACTGGCTGTTGCGTCTACGTGGAAAGGATGAGGCCTTAGTGCGACTACGCAGGGGGGCAGGGGGCAAAGGTCGAGCATCTGTGCGAAAGCTGATGGATCGCTGTAAAGAGATGAGACATTGAGCACATGCATGCAAAATAAGGCTGAGGTGGTCGTTCTGGGGTACAAAAAGAGGTTTTGTTACCGAAATAGACTGCCCTATGCGTTTCAGAGCAGGAGTTTTCACTGGTGTGATGACACCTGTCAGGCTGTTGGACTTTGCCACAGGTTTGACCCTTTTGTTACTGGGCTCCTGAAACAGATCAATGCTAAACTTTATAGTACTTATATTTAAAAAAAACTCCAAAAAGTTTCAAGAAGTGTGTAAGTTTAGAAAAGAAAAAAAAAAATCCTAACAAACCTCTGAATCCTTGTGATCAGACATTATTTCCCCCTCCTCATCTTCCTCATCATCCTGACGGCCAGAAAAAAAAAGTAAAGGTGAACTCAACATGAAAGAAAGGCGTTAAAGGGTGCTGAAATGTTGCATGGTGCACATCTCTCATTTCCTGTGCAAGGTTTTCAAAGAGGAAGAAAGCTGAAACTGTGCCTCTGTAGTGAAGCACAACATGTCTGCCTGTTTTCCCCCCCACTAACCACAGCTGCTGCAAATTCAATGTGGCAACAATGAAATAAACGCTAAAAAAAAACAAAAATATTGCACAAACATAATGTATATGGAACTAAAAAAATGCCAATTAACATTTAAAAAAATCACAGCTGATTTAATTTATCAAGATCTTTGAAGAAAGAAAGAAAGAATCCTAAAATCCGAGTTCTCAGATAATGTTCACCTCTTTTCACAGTTTTGCACTCAGCACTGTGGTCACAAAGGTAAGGTTGACAAACTTCCGCCAGTTACTGAGAAAGGCAGAGATATGACAGTGTGCCGCTTTTCAGATTATTACTCACCTCCATAATTCTGATGACAGGTTCAGTTATCGGATCTTGTTTTCTCTTCTTCTAAAGGTAGAAAAAAGTTTTGCCAAAAAATCAGATCTTTTGAATTCAGGCCTTTGATAAATAAGGGATAAAATAGCTTTAAGGGTTGCTCACCCCAGCATGGTCATAGAGGACAGAGAGTGTATCTCCTGACACAGACCTATAAAGGACCACAAATCATTAATTTTAATGTCGTCCAGATGTTTCAGCTTTTTACCGAATCATTTCAGCTGTAGGTTGGGTAGTTGTGCATTAGAGCATGGAATTACAGTGAAGTGAATGAAAAAGTTTTGTCATTATCTACCCTTTAGTTTACAACCTTTAATTTCAATCACAACGTTAGAATTATCATTTAATACAAGAAAACATTTAAAAGCAAGTTTCCAAAGCTACTGTACCAGGAAGTCCTCATTTCACCAGTCTCCTCCACTTCCATCGTCTTCCTTCTTTCATTGCATCCTCACAGAAATGAATGGCTCTGCTCTCAAAATGAGCAATAATCCAGTTGTAGAGGTCTCCTCTGCCCTCAAAGGACAGCGAGCAGTTTGCTACGAGCTCGTTTTCGTTGTGTACTCCTTCATCACTTTCTTCCTCATCTCACAGCAGACCACATCCTCTACGGTTGCGCATAATCACGTATCCGCTCTTCTCAGGGAGGAGTGTTCAAAACTTGACTTTAATCTTCTCTGTACAATCTTTGGATCGTCTAATATTGAAAATAAGTTGAAAACTTATTTTTAGATATTAAACAGCACATTAAAAAAACAAATTGAAATCGAAACAGGAATAAAGATTCAGTTACACCAGAGATGTCTCAATTACATTCAAAATTAAGGAAAATTATTAATAAGTTTAATCAGTTGAGGGATTTTCCATACTGAACGTAGAGGTTGATGATAAGCTGATGGAGGATGTGTTTACCGGAAACACTGTTCTGTAATGAAACTTTCTGATCAGGCAAACCGGGTCAGACAGGAAAACGCCTGAATCTGTCACCACCATGTGTTTCAAAGTCCTCCAATACCAACATGATCAGCCAGTTACACAACTTTGCGATACAAAAATCATAAAAAAAAGTCAACACACTTTTGCATGTTTTACACGTTTATTCACTATCACACTAAGTGCTCCCATGTCATGGTACATCTTATTGTCTTGCTTTTAATTGTTTTTTGTCATTTGATGTTAACAAAATACAAACAAGAGTTATGGACTAACAGGTGTGTGCCAAATCTGTTTAACCCCCCCGTAACCCCAAATAAAATACAACAAAGAACACAGGAAATAAAGAGAATAAAGGGAGAAATGTCATGTGCAAGAGCCCCTCGAAGAGTGGTGGTGGTGGTGAGGAGGGGTGTCCTGGACTGGGAGAAGTATTCTGCCAGTGTGATACCATTCCAGTCAGAAAATATCTACAAGGCTCTGCTTTAAGAGTAGCTACTTTTTAATTAACAAAATGGATCTGAGGAATTAATAAAATAAAAAACAAATGCAAAATTGAACTTGAGCATTGAGACAAAGGTTAGAGGAGGAAGGAGCACGTAGAGTGAAGGGAAGGCGCTGGGGTGTGAATTAAAATGAACCTTGTTTACTGTGAGGATGGTTAGTATACATGGGGACTTAAATGGGCTTATTGAACTGTAGAGGCTGCACTACTACAGTATACAGGCTCCCATCCAGGACTATGTACAGTCAGGCACAGGTTTAACCAAAACCTGAGGCCCATGAAGCCCGCCCCCAATTTGGAACAAGCTACCCACTGCAGAACCCCCCTTCTCTTAGCACCCCCCCCTGCAACTCCGTTGGGCTCAGTGAGGAGCTCAGCGAATGGTGTATCTGACATAGGGCACTTCCACGTCTTCGTCCGTCTGGTCGTTGCAGCACAGCTCAAACACCAGGGCTTTCACATGTTTGCCCAGTTTCTTTTTGGACACCTTAGTCACAATCTCAGTCATCCTGAAAAATGGAGAAGAAAATGTGACTGAGCTGAAGACTAAAAAAAGAAAAAACTATTCAACATGAATGCAGATCCACGCACACAAAAAAAAAGCATTACAAGATATTTCATAGCACAACTCATAAAATGAAAGAATTTCCCTTTTGAAGTTGAACACCTCACATGCATTTGTATTTTCAAAGCAGGAAGTAGAGCATTTTATTAAATGTAAACTTACGGTAGGTCCAGTCTTTCTTTAAGTTTGGCAGCAGGCATGAAAAATGAATACAGCATGGAGACTCCCTGAGATAGCATGGTGATCTCCAACTTATGCTCATTCTGACAAAGAAAAAAAAACTAAATTAGTTACATGCATCAAAACAAACATGGAGTCAAGATTTAGAAAATTAAGACAACACACTTTAAAGTAATCAAGGAATTGTCGGAGTGTCATTTCCTCCCCAGTTGGCTGCACACCCTTGACCTCGAAGCGATCCCAGAGAGTCCAATCAATCTCATAGTACTGCAAATAAACCAGTAAGATTTTAAGTGAAGTCAGTTATCCAATACATCCATCTCTACCTGCCGGTTCACTAAGTAACAGGTCTGTCAAGGTACAAGTTTTACATTTCTCCTCAGCACACACTGATACCATCAGCGTGAGAAGGTCAGTTAAACTCACTTGCATCCCGGCAGACTGCCGAATGCATCAGTATTAGCATGGCTGAATCATCATTGGAGCTTTATGGGATTTAACTTTGCCTTTAGGTGTGTTGTGCTGAGCTTACCTTGTGTTTGGGAGCAGCAATGGGCTCAGAGAAGGCAAAGAACGGTAGGGCCAAGTTCATGAAGCCGTTTTTGAATGATTCCAGCTTTTTATGTCCTTGGATGATCTTGAAAAGCTCCAGGCAGACAAGGCCGACCACTGCAGCTGTAGTAGTGGCAATAGCCGGAATGATCTTGCCAGCAATCAGTTTGCTCTGGATGGGACAGTGGCACGTTAAAGAATAAAAGAATGAACAGGCCTGCAGTTACACCAAAAACTCAAAATGTCAAACTATCTCACAAAAGCAAGACAGTGGAGAAAACTTTGCAAAGTTCATCTATGGAGGACAGTCATTTTATCAGACTCCAAGAAATGTTTCCCACCTTATGCCTGTCAGCAGGTGGAATGTCGTAGTTCTCTGCTCTCAAATTGGAGGCAGCCACAATGAAATCCATGTGGAAGTTTGTATCGTCATCCTGTTAAACGTAAAAAAATAAATAAAAAGTTTACAGTAAATTTATTGTATCGAATAGCCCACTTAATGAAACTTCTGCCTGCTGTGCTAAGAGTGAAAGCTAAAATATTAGCCATCCTGGAAAACTTTAGATAAAACCTTGGCAGTAGTATACCCCCAAATAGAGAACAGATTTTTATCATAACGAATTTTACACCCGCTGACTTCAACACTGCAGCCAATAAAAGCAGTTAATAATTTTTAGAAGAGCATTTTCATATTTTTCACCCACCCTAACTGCATTCCTCATAGAATATTGAGACCGTACATGAATTACCTTTTCAAAGTCGATGGGGCTGAGTTTGAATTGGAATGATTCTGGGGTAGGCAAATGAGACTTCAGTTCTTCCAATTTGGAGTCATCTGTATGTCAAGAGATGTAACAGATTACTAAAAGAATTCAGAGCTGAAATGAAAAAATTTGTTTAATTTTTCCAACTTACCAACAGAGGAATTGCTATTTTGCAGCTCCTGGTCAGAGACATGGATTTTAACCCCTGAGCGAGGAGTAAAAACTGGCACTTTGACCTCCTGCAAGATCTTGATCACACCTGCTCGGTCGGTGCTGACTGGCAGGCCATAGGACTGGGCAAAGAGGTTTGCAGCTGCCATTACATAATCCACATGGAGGTCCTAAATACAAAGGGGAGAATAAACAACATTTTTATTTGCACATTTGAATAATAATAATAATAATAATAATCTGATAATCTGAGGGTAGAAATTCGTGAAATCCCCCTTACATTGCTAGTGCTGAATTCTAAGGGGTGGGGACATCTCTTTGGGCCAGACCAGAAGGGGGCGCCTGAGCTGGTGAGCTGCAAAAGAATCACAGAAGTTTGAACAAATTAAGGCACTTGCTCTGCAAATCAGAAAAGGCTTGTCTTAGCTTTTTGAAATGAAAAAAAAAAAAGTTCTTATTTTTAAGCAGAACTATAGGAAATTGTTTTAAGAATTCAAGAAACAGGATTTTCAAAGTTTTAATCTAGAACGAGTTTCAAATACTTAAATATAGTTGAAATCTCTTCGAGTCAAATCCTTATCAGCTTATTAACTCAAAACAGCTGCAAAGTTTTCTGGGCTCCTTAAGCCCAGAACACGAGGTCTGGCAATTTCAGACCCATTATCAAAGATCTAAATCTGCTTATCATTTATAGTTTGAGAAAGAAAAAAAAAGAATGATTGGAGATTAACAAGTCAGATACAACCGGTGTGACCCGAGACCTACAGGTGCTGGTCATAAAATTAGAATATCACGAAAAAGTAGATTGATTTCAGTAATTCCATTTAAAAAGTGAAACTTGTATATTATATTCATACATTACATACAAACTCATATATTTCAGATGTTTATTTTGTTTAATTTTGATGATTACAAATGACAACAAATGAAAATCTCAAATTCATCATATCAGAAAATTAGAATATTGTGAAAAGGTTCAAAATTGATGGCCCCTGGTGCCACACTCTAATCAGCTAATTAACTCAAACCACCTGCAAAAGCCTTTAAATGGTCTTTCAGTCTAGTTCTATAAGCTACACAATCATGGGGAAGACTGCTGACTTGACAGTTGTCCAAAAGACGACCATCGACACCTTGCACAAGGAGGGCAAGACACAAAAGGTCATCGCTAAAGAGGCTGGCAGTTCACAGAGCTCAGTGTCCAAGCACATTAATAGAGAGGCGAAGGGAAGGAAAAGATGTGGTCGAAAAAAGTGTACAAGCAAGAGAGATAACCGCACCCTGGAGAGGATTGTGAAACAAAACCCATTCAAAAATGTGGGGGAGATTCACAAAGAGTGGACTGCAGCTGGAGTGAGTGCTTCAAGAACCACCACACACAGACGTATGAAAGACATGGGTTTCTGCTGTCGCATTCCTTGTGTCAAGCCACTCTTGAACCACAGACAGCGTCAGAAGCGTCTAAAGAGAAACAGGACTGGACTGCTGGTGAGTGGTCCAAAGTCATGTTCTCTGATGAAAGTAAATTTTGCATTTCCTTTGGAAATCAAGGTCCCAGAGTCTGGAGGAAAAGAAGAGAGGCACTTCATCCACGTTGCTTGAAGTCCAGTGTAAAGTTTCCACAGTCAGTGATGGTTTGGGGTGCCATGTCATCTGCTGGTGTTGGTCCATTGTGTTTTCTGAGGTCCAGGGTCAACGCAGCCACATACCAGGAAGTTTTAGAGCACTTCATGCTTCCTGCAGCTGACCAACTTTTTGGAGATACAGATTTCATTTTCCAACAGGACTTGGCACCTGCACACAGTGCCAAAGCTACCAGTACCTGGTTGAAGGACCATGGTATCCCTGTTCTTAATTGGCCAGCAAACTCTCCTGACCTTAACCCCATAGAGAATCTATGGGGTATTGTGAAGAAGAAGATGCAATACACCAGACCCAACAATTCAGAAGTGCTAAAAGCCACTATTAGAGCAACCTGGGCTATCATAACACCTGAGCAGTGCCACAGACTGATCGACTCCATGCCACGCCGCATTGCTGCAGTAATACAGGCCAAAGGAGGCCCAACTAAATACTGAGTGCTGTACATGCTCATACTTTTCATGTTCATACTTTTCAGTTGGCCAACATTTCTATAAATCCTTTGTTTTTATTGGTCTTCAGTAATATTCTAATTTTCTGATATGATGAATTTGAGATTTTCATTTGTTGTCATTTGTAATCATCAAAATTAAACAAAATAAACATCTGAAATATATGAGTTTGTATGTAATGTATGAATATAATATACAAGTTTCACTTTTTAAATGGAATTACTGAAATCAATCTACTTTTTATGATATTCTAATTTTATGACCAGCACCTGTAAATGTCATTAGGAGACACAATCATGTGGAGGACTGCTGACTGGACAGAAGACAGACACCCACTGTGAAGGATAGGGCATTAAAGGTCACTGCTCAAGGAGCTGGCTATCAGAATCCAAGCAGATCCATAGAAGGTTGAGTGGAAGGAAAAACTCTAGTAAGAAAATGGGAACCTGCGACGGGGTGGGGGGTAATAAGGAGTGGACTGATGCTTGAGTTGGGAGCAAATGAGTGTGGACGATTCTGATGCGTTTGGTTAGTTGTAACCTTTGATCGATATGTCAGAAAAGTCGCCTAACCTTAACCCAAGGAAACTCAACCAGCAAGAGACAAAATAAAATGTCAAACTTGATCAGCAATATTCACTCTTGAGGTTTACTCATGTAATACAAAAAGATCATTTGACAGCAGAAGACAAAAAAAAAAAAGACAAAGGACTTCCTTAAGCCTTTAATAAATTCTTTAAAACTTAGACTAAGACGTGTTAAGAGACACTTTAGCTTTTTGCTATGAATCAGATAGTTAAAATTTAATCCAAAGGACTTAAAAAAATATGAGTGCAAAGGTGACCATTATTCACCCAGGTGTGAGCATCAAAGAGAGTATATAGAAGGCAAAACTAAGAATTATAAATATGAGATTCTGATCTGTTGGCAGTGGTTGACTGATGTGTTAGGACCGTCATAACGTGCGAATGGTCCAGATAATTATGCAAATTTCTTTTGTCCAGTTAGGACCGATTTATTTACCTGATCTGGGGGGAAGTTGTGCAAAAGCTGACGAATGTTGTTGCTGTACTGGCACTGCCAGTGATTGCGAGCCCAAGCTACACAGTCGGCCCAGCTGTGCGGACAGTCTGTAACAACACTCTTGTAAACAGCCTCCAGCACCTCCACAGGCTGCGCTCCTGGAAGCTTCAGAGTTCGCTCCATGAACTTGGGGTCTCTAAGGATTCATAACATAAAAAACTAGTTACCATTTTTATTATCATTTAGAATTTACATTGAATGCTTTGTGTTGGTGTGCAACTTACGTGAGGTACTGCATAGCATTCTCTGGTGCCTGTTTGAAGAGTCCCTCAAACTCATCCCGAGCCCACTAAAAGGGAGAGAGAGGTTTTGAATTAAAATTGTAGCCATGAACGTGCATCAGGCACCAGGTGAACGCCATTAAGACATGTATATGAAGGAGGAAAAATAAAGAAGTCTACAACAACTTGGTTCTAAGAGAAATGTTAAAAAAATAAAAAAAATAAACCTTGCATCCCAGTCCAATTAAATTAGGCAGCAAAACTTCCGAGTCACTGTGGTCATAATCTATTACCGATTTTTAATTCAATATATATATGTGGCAATACTGATTAAAATGGCTCCTCCATCAATATATCAATTGGATTCATGTTAATTAAACCTAAAAAAAGAAAATACTTGCTCCCAAGTGTCGCAATACTAAAACCCCAAAGAAAAACAAGATGCAAATATTTTTAGATGTCAGTTATTTTCTCTACATCAAAGTTAATTTGCCTATTTGGACACTTCAATGTTCAGACCAAGTTCATATGTTTACTGGCTGAAATGCTGAGTTACACAGGAGTGGAAGGGACAAAGTTTAATGGAAAAAAGAAACCAGAAA